AAAATAGCTTTTAATGACTTAGTTTTTAACCAAGAATTGTTTTTAAACAGCAGGTATAATCGGTATACTTACGTCTCTATAAAAACAACATAACATTCCATACATTTTTCTTAAACTCATTTAGTTAATTCCCACTTCTCATCAAAATTTAAATACTATTTACTTTCCTTATTAATGATAATTACTTATATTTTCCCAAAAATATGTAATTATTTGTTTAACAATTAACACTAAAGCATCGAACAAAAATTACACGTTTATTATTCATAAAATTATTATCATGAAAACAATAGCCATTAGACAGACACACTTAATATCTTTTACTGCTAAAACAAAACTGATTGTTTGTTTAACACCAAACCCCAACCACAAAAATCTAATCGAAAATCCTCAACGCCCCTACAGCCTGAAAGTAAAACATAATAAATCCAATAATTCATTCAACGCTAACAATGGCAAATGACCCCCCAACTACTAATTATGAAAGACCATCATATAAGCATTTAACACCTTAAAAACACAATAAAATGTAATTTATCGTTTTAACGTCATTAAAGCATAAAATTTACAGCGCATGAGCACTATTACATTCAAGGAGGTGGTAGAGAAGTCTGTAGTTGAGGATATACAGAAAACAACAACCATTGAAATGGTTTAGATCTCCCTATACTCCTCTGCTTCCCATACAAATATAAATGTTATACTAATTAACTAACTTGCTAATTAATGTAAAATGACTTTATATTGTTGTTGTTACTTTTGTAGAAAATTTGTTTTGTATTTATAGGCTTGTGTTGTTGAAAAAAGCCAACAATACAATGCCTTAATAATTGTCCTGTTATGAGAATGTATTTGAAAAACCTAAAATCGTTTATCATTTCAACTTTGTTTAACCATCGTTAAAACTTAACTACAGTTTATAAACAGACATAAAAACAAATTGCACTTAAAACCAAAACAGTATTCAGTATTTTACACTCTCCCATTCGGAAATATACACAAATACACAAATAAGAACACACACACACACTGTGATGTGAACACACCATCAATATTTTCCTTTTATTATTCAGGTTCACTATGGCGTATACTTAACGCCAATTTATGGATTTGTCAGTTATTATGGTAATTATACTGCAGCATTTTCTCACTTTTAATTTTCCATGTGTATGTGTGTATTACACATTATAGAAGAGTGTTTCCGGTTGGCTGTATATGTTTGTATGAGCGTATAGTATTTAAGTGCGTATTTTCATGTTTACACATTATTTACTGTTTGTCTGTCTTTATGTGTATATGATTTTGCTTGTATAGGAGTGCGTGTATCATTTGATTGTCTATGTTTACTTAAGTCCACCATTGATGAAGATAATTGTGTTTTATTAGCACAAACAATAGAGTAAATTTTACAGTACAATAATGTTGCTTCTATTGTTTGTAGATGGTTGGATTCTAATTATGGTTAACGGCATCGTATAAGAGGAGTTTAAATTTAAAAGCTACTAAAAAGATTCTTTGACCTGTTCAAAGATTTATTAATGCAATAGTTTAGATATCTATTAATCTTTGCTTCTACTTAAAACACTCATTATTTTGATATTAATTCAATATTTTACATTCTTAAATCAATCATATTTTGATCACAAATCAAGTGTACATTTGAGATTAAACCAAAACCAAATTTTTCATTTGTGTTTAAGTTATAAACTGAACGACAATGGACATCTCAAGATATGAGTTAAATGTTGTGATGTCCATCTTACGATATTTTCTGCTTCTAATTATTTGCCGTATTTTGATCTCGCCATATGAAGGATGTTTCAATGAATTTTTCACGAGCTTCCTCATTGTCCTTGATCAATATTTTATGTAATTGGTAGCTTATTGTGGTACTTAAAATAGCATCTGTGAATGTGATCATCAGTACCGAGAGTCATGTATAAGATTCTTATTATCGTGTACTTGTCAGCTTAATAAACATGTATTCATTCGTCTTTCCTTCTTTCGCTCTTCTATACAAGTTAATCCTTGGTTACGTTACAGTGATCACCAGTATTATAAGATTATTAATTACAAAGCTGAGTAAGAGTATTACATACGGCTCCTCATTTTGAGGAGATTTTTCGACTTGCTCTCATCAGGGTCACCCCATAGGATCTTCGTGGTTCTATCCTATGGGGTGACCCTTATGAGAGCAAGACGAAAGATCTCCTCGAAATGAGCAAGTCTGAAGTTAGTATGATGCTACGTATTCTGAGTGGACACACAGGAGTACGACCACATCTATGCAAAATTGGACGTGCGGATTCAGACGAATGTAGAGCATGTGGAGAGGACAATGAAACTCTGCAGCACTTTCTTTGCCACTGCCAGGCATTCGTCGAAGTTAGATCCAAGTATCTTAGAAATGATGTTATTCCGGAAATAACATTCCTAATTAACACTGATTGGAAGATTCTTAGGAATTACGTTCAGGAAACTGAGTTTATGAATCACTGAAAAATTCAGTTCCCCTTTTTTTAGTGAGGAGGGTATATTGGACTTGTGCTGATGATTGTAACGCATAGAATTAATGGTCCTTTACCCACATTTAAGTGTACCAATCGGCTCAGAATCATTTTCTGAGTCAGTTAAGCCATGTCCGTCCGTACGTCTGTCTGTCTGTTCATGTAAACCTTGTAATCAAACTACAGGTCGCAATTTTGAAGATAATTGGATGATATTTGGTACACACATTACTTTTGACACAAGGACGAACCCTATTGATTTCCGTTGATATCGGTCCATTATTTCACCTAGCCCCCATATAACCGGACCCAATAAATTGGAATTTGGAGCTCATAATTATGCCAAATATACTAATATCTCTACAAAAATAGGCACAACTACGTTTTATACAAGCATAAATGATACTGGAAAATTTCGTAATGAGCGGCCCACTTGCGAAGTCCTGCTCTGAAAATGCTTAAACGTCGTTTATTCCCTTATAAATATATCAAAATTAAGGAATTGAATCTCATTATCCTAATATCGTTAATTATTGACAGATCCTCCAAAATTTTTGTCGGAGATTTTAGTGATACAATTCAATTCCCACCAGAGGCGCTGGTAAAGGAACACACAATAGGCCCTATTTGAGGAGTATTTCTTCGAATTTGATGTAACATACATCTTCCTTTCAAACTAACTCTTAAAAGTAAATAGTTATTGTTAACATTTTTTAAGCAAACAAAAGTCTTATGAAACTTTTATAAATTTAAAAATAACTCATACTTAAGACTCCTAATAGAAAATCAAGAAAAAAATGCAATAACGATTTTTTACTTATTCAGTTCAATATTTTGTTAAGAGATTTTAATTTAAATCTTGCTAGAACTCATAGAATTATGAAAAAAAAAAAAAACAAACTGAAAAAATTGTATTTCGAATGAGAGTATTTAACAAAGAAATATAGAGAAAAAACCAAAACAACATAAAACTACAATCTGTTATACAAATACAAGAACGAATTTTAAAACTAAATCTACTGTAGATTGTAATAACTGCAAAATACAAACAACACATTCATACATCACATACACAACCCAGCAGTTTGGCAAGGAGTCAAAGTATCCTTTTTAAAAGAATTTCTTTTTTAATGTTAAACTATCGGCTTATGTCTGTAAGTAAGACAGAGAGGAAAACAGTTATCACTAAGGAGCAATGTGGATATATTACACAGAGAGAAAAGGAAATATACACGCCTGGTACCAAATTGACACCAAAGAGTTTATAATTTTTCAGTAACATCCGTTGTCAAAGTATATAATTACGTACGACAATACTATGTAATGTTGACAACGCGACGTTGTCAACATTGCAACAATTCGTTGTCGAAATCCAAATTTTATACTCATCCGTTGTCTAAATGTTAACAAACGTGGTAAGCTCACTATTGGCAACGGATTGTTTGTCAATAGTAGGCTTACCACGTTTGTTAATATTTAGACAACGGATGTGTATAAAATTTAGATTTCGACAACGAATTGTTGCAATGTTATCAACATTACATAGTGTTGTCGTATTTCTGGTCCTACACCCCAAAATGCAGGGTTACATATACATATGTATGTGTTTACAAACAAAATACACACATAAAATTATATTTAAAACCTACACACTCAAATAGCAATAATATTTTATTTATTTTTTTATTTCTCCTTCCAAATATATAAAGTAAATGGTTGCCTGAACGGAAGAATGGTTAAATGGATAGCTGACTGGATGCAAGGATGATTGAATGGTTGACTGACTGTCGGTTGGTCGGTCGGACTAAATGTTTTCTAGTGTTTTTAAATTCATAAAAGATGAAATCTCATCGTTACACAGATGTGAAGTAGAGACTAGACTAAATTTATACAATATTTTTGTGTAGGTTTGTTTTTTGTTTTTATTCCACTCTACACAATTCTAAAAATTTATCGTTTTTGCCAGGAATATACATAAATTTTATTTTTTGATTTGTTTGTATGAGTATGTATTTGTATATGTATATGTATTTTATGTTGATTTGTATTTTTTTCAACTTGTTTTTAAAACCAAATAGAAATTGATTGAAATATTTTTTTTTTCCACATACTACATACATAACCAACTTCTATGCTAAATTTTAATACTCAATCGTTCTGTACAGGATATTGCCCAAAAATTTAATTGCGTTTACATTCAGTTATAGTTAAATAAAAAAAAACAAAAAGGCATTTGAAAAATATTTGCAACAAATGGTATATAACAAAAATATATAAAGGTATTTGGCAAAAATATCAATTAAAATTTTTACTCCATACTAAAACAAACGCTGGGATTATATGCTAAAATGTTTTGTATATTTTTTTTTTATTGGCAATTTATATTCTAAAAATTTGTATCTTTAGTTATTTATTAAGATTAAAAACATATCTTTTTAAATAACTAAAAAGAAAATATTAGAATTTTTGTTAAAAATATTTTTCTTAACTTACCCGACATATCTTCACTGTGCTCATCATCGTGCATTTCCTCATCTCGATCATAGTTACTGCTGCCACTACAACTCCATCTTTGATTGTTGTAATGTTGTTGCAGATTTTTTCCTGTAAACTTATTAGGATCTAATATATTTTCCACAGAGAATGCCAAACGTTTGGTGGTTTCTTTATCACTGGTTGTTGTGGTCGAGGAAGTGGTTGAAGTTGGTGATGTGGTGGTTGATGTTACATTGGAATTGGGCACAGAACGGGTTAAATCAACGGGACAAACCTATATAAGAAAACAAAAGGAAATATGCATAATTATATAAAAGGCCAGTATATGAGAATATGTAGGCTTTGATATATGATTTTCATAATTTATTAGAACTTATAGTTGCACTAGGAAGACCATAAGATAATTAAGTGTTTGGGAACGCCAACTGTGTTTATGGGGTTTTTGCATTGAATGCTCATTGCCTACGCACTTGACAGATTAAATCCCAAAAAAAAACTTCGATTCTGCCCCAATGTGCAGTATCTTACTTTAAATCAATTACGAATATAGCAAGTACATATATTTATATATTATAGAAAAATATATAGACAAATTTTTGGAACTCGTTATGGAATTCGATTCTAAATGTTGTCACAATAGTATGATTATATCCTACAGAACTCACTAGAGAAAAAAGAGGTTATTCTGCTGATCCTTGTGTTTGGTCCTACACCCACCTAAAAGTATACTAATCGGCTCAGAATCACTTTTTGTAAACCTTGTGCGTACTCTACAGATCGCAATGGCCAAATGCTTAAAATCGGTATAATATTTCACCCAGTCGCTATGCAACTGAACCCCCCGAAAAGAGATTTTGAAGTCATAGTTAGGTTAAATATACTTGTATGTCGCTAAAAAGCGATACAACTAAGATTTATACAAGACTTGATCATCTATCAAAAATTGCTAATGATCTGGCTGCATTTGACCCTATGTCCCATACAAAAACCCCTTCTGAAAATTATGTGAATGTCCACAATTCACTGATAAACACTAATATTGTGATGAAATTCAGCACAAATACATTTTATGTAAATATAAATCTATCCACAAAATGTTATTAGAATCGGTCTATATTGGCTTTAGTCCTCATATAAAGCCTCTTTCAGAAAATTAGTTTTTCAACAAGAAATTGCCACATAAATGCTTTATTATGAAGAAAATCACATTTAATATTAAGGACTGGTGTTGGGTATCATATGGTCGGTATCGTTCGGAAATACATATCTATAAAAAAATCATCACACTATATCAACTTCTTCACTCATGACAAGTTTTATACCGATCGTGCAAGCCATAGAAATATCAGATTAGTTTCGAAAATGCATCAATTTTATCCCACTGTACAGTAGCTTACTTTACGATAAGTGCAAAAATAAGAATTATGGAGTTTGTCATAGAATCAAATAATTGGCGGAATTGGATTTGAAAGCTTCAAAAAACATCATCAGATTTTCAACGACTCTTACTAGTTGTGTTATTAGAACTATATAAAATATCAACTATGGATTCTTTAACTACGAAAAGCTCTATTTTCGCGAGGGGCTATATCTTTTCACATTCAAATCGCTTCCTTGTTTAAATAGATTTTCACATATCTGTATGTATATTAACCTTTTAATGACCAAAAGTTTTCAACTTAAATGATTTAACTTTTTGTTTTAATTTAGCAATCTATGGTTATGAAAAAATGCCCTTCTGGGTACCCTCTAAGTCTCCTTTCGCTTGGCTTAAATAGATTAAATTTCGAATAGAAATGCATTTAATATAATGTGAAAAAGTGGGAAATTATGGATGTCGAACAACCACTTTTCTTATATTAAAGACAACACTGTCAGTCTGGATAAGAATACTTAGAGATCCATGGGCCCTTTCTTATAAAGGTGTTTTTAAAATCTTGTGGTTGCAATAAGAACCAACCCGTACTTCTAACAAAATTGATTACATCACATTTTTGAAATAGTCTGGATCATGAAATAAATGACTACAGGATGCTGAAACATATTGTACCGACCTGTGGTTAATTTTCGAGCAAGTAGCCACAAATAATTTTGGATATTGTACAATGTATTGTTATTCATTGGTTAATCAAATCCGAAGCATCAGCCAAAGGAATATAAACATGATCTTGCGCCACCGATTCGCTCAAGGATGATCAGTGAATTGCGCATTCGTAGATAATTTAATTTTCATTCCATTAGTGGTCCTGATTTCTCTCTCCATTTCCACACCAAATTCTTTTATTCCTAACAAAACGTTTAGCTACATGACCTTTGACCTTTACTGTAAATAATTATTAAATTGTTTAATAGAAATTTATGTAAAGATCCACAAGAATAGGAAATTTAATTAGAAAATAAATTTCTCAAAATCTTTTAAAATGTTTAAAGTCTCAGAATTCAAATGATATAAAAATTAAGAAAGTTTTTAGTCTGAACCATATATTATCCACTAGAGTTATAATGTTTATACTCGATCTTCTGTGTTTTTTAAAATGGAACATTGAAGGTACAACCGATTTGAAGCAGTTATCATATAGAATAATAGGAAATGATAAAATTCATTTTGAAATCGAATTCTTATTCGATGTATTAACTTCCCACCGCAAAATCTTAATATTTCAGTTAGTTAAAGAATTTATTTTATTTGATCTAATCAACTTCTACTCTTCATTTATTTACAGATCTTTACGACTAACAAAATTATTACAACAACATCTCACGGTAAGTGCTTTTAATTTAAACTTTTTTTTATTTCAACACCAATTCAAAAATTCTTCCACTTACCGACGGTGTACCATGAGATCCATCATTACTCTCCTCATCGTTGCCATCCACATTAAGCTCTTCGCTGGTATCACTGCGTGCATAATTAGCGGCGGCAATTTGTCTTGAAGTGGCCGCAGCCGCTGCAGCAGCTGCTGCCAAACCACCCAATTGTATTCTAAATCCATAATCACTTAAATCTGGACGAGGTGGAGCCTGACCATTTAACGTTACCCCTGCCACAGCGGCAGCCGAAGACCGAGCAACGACCGCTTGGGCTTGAGCAACCAATTTTAATTTTTCCAAATCCATATCGTGTTGTGTTGCGGAGGATGTCGATGAAATTGTGGTCGATGAAGAGGAAGGGCTTAGAGTTAGATGTGTGGCTGTTAGGGGTGGAGGTATTGATATTTGACCATTGATTAGATGTGTGGGAGCAGCAGTTGGATGTGTGTTCAGCAATAGGGTTGAGCTGGACGATGATGAGGGTTGTAAGGAATTTGTTGACAGTTGTATTGAGGGATTTGTTGTTGGGGCTGGTGTTAAGAGATGCGGTTGCTGTAGTTCGGAATGTGTTGTTTGCTGGTGCTGTTGTGGCATGTTGTGATTAGGTGATGTTGGTGGCGACAGTGGGGAGTTGGCTGGTGAGGGTAGTGTTAAAGTTGTGGTGGCCGCCGTACTTAGGGGACCTCTTAAATGAAATGCTGCTGCCGCTGCTGCAGCCGTGGGTAAATGTTGATGAAATGCTGGATGTTGATGATGATGATGGTGTAGATTTTGTTGTTGTTGTTGTTGCTGATGATGTTGCTGCTGAGCCTGAGCAGCTGCCGCCAAAAATTGTGGATTTTGCAAAAGGTGAGGATGTTGTTGCAACAAAGCCGCGTGTGGATGTTGCAATGGTTCCGGTCTAGCTAAATGCCTTACTGGCGGTAATTCCATTAGCTTGCGTTGTTGTAATTGTGGTGGTGTTTGTGATCTTCTATTACTATTTTTCTGTGAATCATTTTCCATTTCTTCAGCATTTGGTGAAAGTCTTTGTTGATGTTGTTCCGTTAATTGTTTAAGGCGTTCCATAGAATACCTTAAGCCCTCATCATTCGCTTTAAGAGCCACATTATTATTGTTTGAGTTGATGTTATTATTTGTTAGATTTTGATTATTTTGTGGAGTTATAATAAATTTTGGTATTTTAGCCGTTGGCGAGTGTATGTCAGTGTTGGCAGAGTTATTATTTTCATTAGCATTCGATTTATTAACTTCTGGAGAAGTATTTGATTTGGGCGAATCCGGGTTAGAGTTGGGACTCATTTGGGAGCCGTTTTAAAGAGGGCGAGTTGTTATCCGTGGTTTTGTTAGGTGATTGTAACATCACCATTTTTGTAAATTAGATTTTAAACTAAAGGATTTTTTAAAAAGCAAATATTAGTTTATCTTTATCTATTTTTTAATTAGCGGAGATCACTGCTTTTTTTTGAAAAAATTTTTTTTTCGACACTTTTTAAAATATTTTTTTATTTAAAATTCTATTAGAATTCACTAATTTTTGTTATATTTGTTTTTTAAGTTTTGTAATAATTTTTACATATTTCTCAGTAATTCTTTCAAAATTTTTATAAAATTTTTATTTAGTTTGTTTTGTAATTTTCAAACATTTTCTTTTTATTGTAATAAAAAATTTACGGCGAGTTCTCTATTCGTTTGTAATTTTATTTCGAAAAATTTATCCGTGTTTTGGTTTTCCCAAGTTGTTATCACTTTAAAGTCAACCAATCGACTGTTTTATACTTGACATCCGTTTGTTCATAGCGGGTGATAATCCTGTTTAAAACTAATCACATCTAAGGGTTGTTGTGATTTTAAAAGTGACTCTGATTTCGTTTGCACTCCCTTTGTGTTTTTTCACTTTTCTTTTCAGATAAATCTGATTTGAAAATCACACACATGTATTCATCACTAGAGCACAAGTGTAGACTGAGTAAAAAAAAAGATACAAATGCTTTGAAATGATGTTCACACAGCATCCCTTTTTGAGTGTGAGAGAGCGCTAAAGAAATTACTCAAAAATCTTGACAAGAAAGAGTGATGGAGAGTAACAATTACTAGGAGGGTTGATTTTCCAATTAGTTTTTGTAAAGGAATTTGTTAATTTTTAAATAAATATGGTACTTGCTCTTCTCTTTTGGTTTTAGTTTTAAATAGCTCCTCCCTTTTCACTTAAGCAATTTGAGTGATATTTTTGGTTGTGTTTGTTTTTGTTTTAATTTGGTTCTTGTCAATTCAGAAAATCATCAATTTAATGTTCCAGCTCCATTAGCTTTAAGTTCTCCTGATTTTTTGTGGTTAAACCTCCTTCTTGTTTTTGTTGTTGTATTTTGTTAATAAAATCCTTAGCACTCCATTTCCTTTCAGACAAGTCTCTTGGTTACTCTGTCTGTTTATTAACTCTCCCCCCCCTACAACCCGGCAGCATTATAACTCAAGCAATTTTTGTTGTCGTTTTTTTTTAATATTCGTGTATGTGTGTAGGAATATTGGCTTGTGTTGGTGTTTGTTTTTTGTTGCTATTTTCCCCCAAATCGTTACTTACACTTTACTTAAAAGGATCACTATCACAATCTAAATGATTTAATTTGTTTTTTACCCCTCGTTTAACTAAAGGTCTTCGTATTTCGTCTCTAGTTCTGCTCCTACTACCATTTTGCTATATATACTTCCCACTCAATTTTCGGTGCCTTCCTAGACTCCCACTCCTTTTGTCCTTTCATAGCCATCCATTTTGTATTCATATTTTTTAGGGTACATATTTTTTTATGTTGTTGCTTATCCCCAGAGTAAAGATGTGAGTAATTGTCAAATTATTTAGCGCAAAATTTGTTTGTTTATACGGTTGGTTGGTTAGAAAATGAAAATTGCTTCATTTCATTTCTTTATTACTTTTTTTGTTGCTAAATCTTTTCTTTAAATCAATGCTGCTTTGTATGAGGCAATTTGAAAAGTCACTTCAGAACACGGTATTCGTATTGTTTCGTTCTTGAAGTCTAAATTTTTTCGATCTAGAAAAAAGCTAATATCCCATTGCAGTGACCATTTCGGTAGACATGTTCTTGAGAGGTTACCAGTTGTCATATTCATAACATGTTAAGTGTGAACTATAGAGTAATAAAGAAACTATTAGAACGACTGCTTTAGAAAGTTCATAAAAACTTTTCATTCTAACCTCGTTTAAAAAGAATTTAACAAAACTATATACTCTTTTCAAGATTTCTATTTGTCTATGCTTCTGTGTTTAAAGTACTTATATCACTGTTCATTCCTCGTTCATTTCTAAATGGCTGGTTTGTTGTTAGTCATATATGCATGATTGCATTTTTCAGATTTTTTTCTCCCGTTTTATCTTGTGTTATAGTCTAGTGTTGCCAACTTTTGTTGTTAGTTTTTTAAGTATATTTGTTATTGTTGTTATATGTCAAGTCATTCGTTAATTAATTATTGTATAATTTATTTATGTTCTTTTAAATTTAGTATTTTTTTGTTGTTATTTGCTGTGTAGGAGCAGTAGCAGCGATAGCATCACTAGCAGCCACCACCAGTACAGGGCCATTTACTATTGAGATGCTAATTAGATGTCATTAAAATGTTCTGCTATCATTATAGTCAACTGTGCATATATAAGTGATAGACAAATTTTGCGAATATATAAGTTATTTTTGAAATTATTTATATTAAACGAAATAATATAAATTTTTGACATTTTTAATTAACAACAATTTATTTGAATTATTCTCAATTTAAAGAAATTGGGTCGTTTGGCTATTTGGCAAGAATAAATACAAAAAACGTGTTAAAACTGTTTTTGTTAGTGAACAAAACATTCTTCAAATCAATCAAATTTGACATCACTGTAATGAAATGTAATATGTACCTAGGTAAAGACAGTTCAGTCGCAATTTACTTTGAAATGTACTGCTCCTAATGCGAATTAGAGTGTCCCTCTCAATCGAGGTATGGGTCTCAATTTGGGTAATGTATGTATGTATGTATGTATCTCAAAACTTCCGTAATTTTGAGCTGATTACTAGAAAAAATGGCTGAAAATTTGCTTTAGAGTATTTTTGGTCTACTAAAGAATTTTTAGTGGGTTTGAGATGTATATAATTTTTGTTTTTGTGGAAATATGTGTAAAAATTCCCGTAATTTTAAGTTAGTATAGAAAAAATTTGTCGAATTATTAGACATTGGTTTGGTCCATTTCAGATTTTTTAGATTCTTTTGGAATATATATGGCCGTTATTAAGTTAGGTAGTTAGTTAGTTAGTTAGTTAGTAGTTAGTTAGTTAGTTAGTTAGTTAGTAGTTAGTTAGTTAGTTAGTAGTTAGTTAGTTAGTTAGTATTTAGTTCGGTAGTTAGTTAAGTTAGTTAGTTAGTTAGTTAGTTAGTTAGTTAGTTAGTTAGTTAGGTTAGTTAGTTAGTTAGTTAGTTAGTTAGTTAGTTAGGTAGTGAGTTGTTAGTTAGTTAGTTAGTTAGTTAGTTAGTTCGTTAGTAGTTAGTTAGTTAGTTAGTTAGTTAGTAGTAGTTAGTTAGTTAAATAGTTAGTTAGTTTAGTTAGTTAGTTAGGTATTTCGTTAGTTAGGTTAGGTTAGTTCGTTAGTTCGTTAGTTAGTTAGTGAGTTAGTTAGTTAGTTAGTTAGTTAGTAGTTAGTTAGTTAGTTAGTTAGTTAGTTAGGTTAGTTAGTAGTTAGTTAGTAGTTAGTTAGTTAGTTAGTTAGTTAGTTAGTTAGTTAGTTAGTTAGTTAGTTAGTTAGTTAGTTAGTTAGTTAGTTAGTTAGTTAGTTAGTTAGTTAGTTAGTTAGTTAGTTAGTTAGTTAGTAGTTAGTTAGTTAGTTAGTTAGTTAGTTAGTTAGTTAGTAGTTAGTTAGTAGTTAGTTAGTTAGTTAGTAGTTAGTTAGTTAGTTAGTAGTTAGTTAGTTAGTTAGTAGTTAGTTAGTTAGTTAGTTAGTTAGTAGTTAGTTAGTTAGTTAGTTAGTTAGTTAGTTAGTTAGTTAGTTAGTTAGTTAGTTAGTTAGTTAGTTAGTTAGTTAGTTAGTTAGTAGTAGTTAGTTAGTAGTTAGTTAGTTAGTTAGTTAGTTAGTTAGTTAGTTAGTTAGTTAGTTAGTTAGTTAGTTAGTTAGTTAGTTAGTTAGTTAGTTAGTTAGTTAGTTAGTTAGTTAGTTAGTTAGTTAGTTAGTAGTTAGTTAGTTAGTTAGTTAGTTAGTTAGTTAGTTAGTTAGTTAGTTAGTTAGTTAGTTAGTTAGTTAGTTAGTTAGTTAGTTAGTTAGTTAGTTAGTTAGTTAGTAGTTAGTTAGTTAGTTAGTTAGTTAGTAGTTAGTTAGTTAGTTAGTTAGTTAGTTAGTTAGTTAGTTAGTAGTTAGTTAGTTAGTTAGTTAGTTAGTTAGTTAGTTAGTTAGTTAGTTAGTTAGTTAGTTAGTTAGTTAGTTAGTTAGTTAGTTAGTTAGTTAGTTAGTTAGTTAGTTAGTTAGTTAGTTAGTTAGTTAGTTAGTTAGTTAGTTAGTTAGTTAGTTAGTTAGTTAGTTAGTAGTTAGTTAGTTAGTTAGTTAGTTAGTTAGTTAGTTAGTTAGTTAGTTAGTTAGTTAGTTAGTTAGTTAGTTAGTTAGTTAGTTAGTTAGTTAGTTAGTAGTTAGTTAGTTAGTTAGTTAGTTAGTTAGTTAGTTAGTTAGTTAGTTAGTTAGTTAGTTAGTTAGTTAGTTAGTAGTTAGTTAGTTAGTTAGTTAGTTAGTTAGTTAGTTAGTTAGTTAGTTAGTTAGTTAGTTAGTTAGTTAGTTAGTTAGTTAGTTAGTTAGTTAGTTAGTTAGTAGTTAGTTAGTTAGTTAGTTAGTTAGTTAGTAGTTAGTTAGTTAGTTAGTTAGTTAGTTAGTTAGTTAGTTAGTTAGTTAGTTAGTTAGTTAGTTAGTTAGTTAGTTAGTTAGTTAGTTAGTTAGTTAGTTAGTTAGTTAGTTAGTTAGTTAGTTAGTTAGTTAGTTAGTTAGTTAGTTAGTTAGTTAGTTAGTTAGTTAGTTAGTTAGTTAGTTAGTTAGTTAGTTAGTTAGTTAGTTAGTTAGTTAGTTAGTTAGTTAGTTAGTTAGTTAGTTAGTTAGTTAGTTAGTTAGTTAGTTAGTTAGTTAGTAGTTAGTTAGTTAGTTAGTTAGTTAGTTAGTTAGTTAGTTAGTTAGTTAGTTAGTTAGTTAGTTAGTTAGTTAGTTAGTTAGTTAGTTAGTTAGTTAGTTAGTTAGTTAGTTAGTTAGTTAGTTAGTTAGTTAGTTAGTTAGTTAGTTAGTTAGTTAGTTAGTTAGTTAGTTAGTTAGTTAGTTAGTTAGTTAGTTAGTTAGTTAGTTAGTTAGTTAGTTAGTTAGTTAGTTAGTTAGTTAGTTAGTTAGTTAGTTAGTTAGTTAGTTAGTTAGTTAGTTAGTTAGTAGTTAGTTAGTTAGTTAGTTAGTTAGTTAGTTAGTTAGTTAGTTAGTTAGTTAGTTAGTTAGTTAGTTAGTTAGTTAGTTAGTTAGTTAGTTAGTTAGTTAGTTAGTAGTTAGTTAGTTAGTTAGTAGTTAGTTAGTTAGTTAGTTAGTTAGTTAGTTAGTTAGTTAGTTAGTTAGTTAGTTAGTTAGTTAGTTAGTTAGTTAGTTAGTTAGTTAGTTAGTAGTTAGTTAGTTAGTTAGTTAGTTAGTTAGTTAGTTAGTTAGTTAGTTAGTTAGTTAGTTAGTTAGTTAGTTAGTTAGTTAGTTAGTTAGTTAGTTAGTTAGTTAGTAGTTAGTTAGTTAGTAGTTAGTTAGTAGTTAGTTAGTTAGTTAGTTAGTAGTTAGTTAGTTAGTTAGTTAGTTAGTAGTTAGTTAGTT